ACACAGTCTGGATTCAACGGATCTATATGTACAAGGTACAGTATATTTACAGGTATTGCACTGGGGGGAAGGCATTGCACTGAGGGTTATTGTCCAGTCATACTGTTGTGGGTTAAGTGTTAATCAGAGTAATAGCCCGGGGAAAAAAAACTGTCCTTGTGCCTGGTTGTCTTGGCATACAGTGACCTGTAGCGCCATCCAGAAGTTCAAACAGATTGTGTCCCGGGTGTGAGGGGTCTGCAGAAATCTTCTCTGCCTTCCTTCTGACCTGTGAGGGTCAGTGACATCAGCAAAGGACTGTGGTTTCAGCTGTTAATGCGTGCAACTCTCCATCATGGAAGGCATGGTGAATATGACAAAAATAGAAAAGAAAGAAATCTGTCAAGTAAAGGAAAGAAAAGCCTGTTCAAGTTTGCTAGCATTGATTCAGAGGGTCAAGGTTGGGGAATCTGTAGTTCGTGTTGCCGTAACAACCCTGCATTGCTTGCTGGCTGCCATAGCAATGCATCAAAAATAGAATGATGGAGAATAACCACTTATTGCTGGGTGAGACAGTATGTTAGTAGCAGGAGAGAGAGGCAGATGTAATGTAATTAGATATAACATCCCCATACAGTAGGCAGAGGGGGGGCAGGAGCAAGACATTCTAGTTCACAGCTAAGTACTCTTTGATTAATAACATATAGACAGTACATCCTAAGGATTTGTGGCCCTTTTAAGCAAATTTCATTTCTCCTCCCTTCATAAAGGAATGCAACAAGGTTTGCACTGGTAAAATGGAAAGGCATTGTCTTAATACACTGTTCTCAGCAATGCACACAAAAAAGGAGCAGCAATACAACAGCTGGTTATTTTTCCACATGATTTTAGCTGTCTTTCTGTTTTTCTCAGTGGTCTCCTGCTTCTTTTACTGTTTTCATGACTTTACATGGCTCATAGTATGTCCAGTCTAGAGTATAATAAGGTAATCAGCCTGTTATAAGTATTGATTAAGCTTTTAACATTATTTTTTTATGAGTTTAAAGCAATAGTCTAGTTGAGAAAACCCCACACTGATTTGTCATATTTTATTCAGTCATATTTTTTGTTGAGCTGAGTGGTGACTGTGGTTCAGTGGGTAAAACAATTGTCTCTTAACCGGAGGGTCATAGGTTCAAATCTCGGTGCCTGCAGTCCACATGTCAAAGTGTCCTTGGGCAAGACACTGAACCCCCACGTTTCCTTCAATGGTTAGAGCCATCGGTGTGAGTTGGCGCCACAGATGGCTTCCTCGGTTCTGTACCGGAAACAAATTCCGTGTGCGTGTGACATACTTGTCCAAGCAAACTTTGTCATCACTGAGAGACAGTGCCCAGCTATCCTGGAATGTTTTATGGTTGAAGTGTAGACCTTTTTATCTGCCCAGGGAGTTCACTTCCACTATAATAATTGCAACTTATATTTCCCCAGATGGTAATGCTAAGCTTGCTATGAACGAACTTCATGCGGCCATTAGCAAACAACAGACTGCACTCCCAGAGGCTGTATTTATTGTTGTAGGTGATTTTAATCTCTGCAACCTAAAGTCAGTGCTCCCTAAATTTTACCAGCATGTTTCCTGCCACACTAGAGGGAATAAAACTCCATGTTTACACAAACATGGCTGCTGCACACAAAGTGACCCCCCTCCTTGACTTGGGACAGTCATATCACCTTTCTTTGTTTCTCACTCCCAAGTACTCACCACTCATCTGCCATGTGAAGCCATCAACAAGGAGCATCAAAGTGTGGCCAGAGAGGACAGACTCTGTACTACAGGACAGGTTTCACCACACGGACTAGAGTATGTTTGCCTCATGGGCTACTTGTGACTCTCACATGGGCATTGACACCTACACTTCCTCTGTGCTGGCCTACATTAACACTAGCATTGACAGTGTCACAAGCCAGAAACAGATCACCCAAATCAGAAGCCATGGATGAACAAGGAAGTGCAGCTCCTGCGGAAGGCCCACAACTCTGCCTTCAGATCTGGTGATGCACAGGCCTACAGCTTATTCAGGGCAAACCTGAGGAGGGTTATCATGAAGGCCAAGCACCGCTACAAGCTAAAGGTCGAGGAACACTTTACAATTTCTGACCCCCGATGTATGTGGAAGGGGATCCAGGTCATCAGTGACTACAAGCATGGCAACTCCACCCCAACAGCCACAGATATGTCCTTCCTCAGCGAGCTAAATGCCTTCTATGCTTGCTTCGACCGGGACAACGAGGAGACAACTATCAAGTCCAGACCCTCCGTAGACCACAGCCACTCACACTCACCCCCACTGATGTATGCTGCACTGAACCGGATCAACGCATGCAAGGCTGCTGGACATTCCTGGAAGCGTTCTCAGGGCATGTGCTGGACAGCTTGCTGGTGTCTTTACGGACATTTTTAACCTGTCCCTCACCCAAGCAGTTGTGCTGACATGCTTCAAAACCACCTCCATTGTGCCAGTGCCGAAACATTCCACCCTGACGTGCCTGAATGACTACAGCCCTGTAGCACTCACACCCATTGTCATTAAGTGCTTTGAGTGCCTGGTCCTGGCACACCTGATGACCTGTCTCCCAACCACACACATAACAATACTTATGCAAGAATGTTGTTCATGGACTTCAGCTCAGCATTTAACACGGTCATCCCCTCCAAGTTAACCATGAAATTTGGCGACCTGGACATCAGTACCTCCCTCTGCAACTGGATTCTGGACTTTCTAACCAACAGACCTCAGCATGTTAGGTCACACAACACCTGCTCCTCCATCATTATCCTCAACACCAGTGTACCACAGGGCTGTGTGCTGAGTCCATTCCTCTGCTCCCTTTTCACCCACGACTGCAGGCCTGTGCATGGCTCCAACACTATCATCAAGTTTGCAGATGACATCACAGTGATTGGCCTAGTGACAACGATGAGACAGCCTACAGGGAGGAGGTACAGCACCTGGCTGTATGGTGCACTGGCAATAACCTGCTCCTTAACACTAACGAGACCAAGGAGCTCATTGTGGACTACAGGAGGGAGAAAGGAGGTACACACGAACCCATTGATATTAATGGAATGGTTGTTGAATGTGTCACCAGCTTCAAATTTCTAGGGACCCACATTTCAGAGGATCTGTCCTGGACCACCAACACCTGCAGCCTGGTTAAGAAGGCTCACCAGTGCCTCTTCTTCCTGAGGACACTGAAGAAGAACCACCCATCTTCAGCCGCCCTGTTGAACTTCTACCACTGTGCCATCGAGAGCATCCTGACCAGCTGCATCACAGTCTGATATAGAAACTGCTCTGTCTCCGACTGCAAGGTGTTGTAGCGGGTGGTGACTGTGAGACCGCCTGAGGTATCACAGGGACTCCACTTCCAGCCACTGAAGGTGTCCACAGGGAATGGTGTCTCCGACGTGCTCATAACCTGTTAGACCTCCTGCCCTCTAGGAGGTGCTTCAGGAACCTCCAGGCCAAGATCAGAAGACTCAGGAACAGCTTTTTCCCCACACCTGTCCCCTTACTGAATTCTTGCCCCTGTTGACCTCCGCTGCCTTCCTCTGTACCACTACACACACCTCATCCCTTCTCATCTCACCTCCCGGGACTAATGCAATACACTTCTGTTACCTGTAAAACTGAAGTGATCTGTTAATTTGCACATACTCACAGAATACTGCACTGTTATTCATTTGCACACCATACAGTACATATGCAGATACTGTACTACTATTTACATCTATTTAACTGAACTTATCTTTTTATTCTGCACTATTTCATTCCATTTCATCCCATTGCACTAGTGTTTTATAAGCTTAATGTACTTTATCATTACTTGTAATTTAAATCCATAAAGTCTGTTATATATTGTACATTACCTTACATATGTTATTATAAATATCAGTTGTACATATCTATCGGTAAATTAGTACTGACTGTACATACTGTAGATACTGCACACTCCGCACTGCTGTTATTGCACTTCTGGTTAGATGCAAAATTGTATTTCATTGCCTTGTACTTGTACATGTATAATGACAATAAAGTTGAATCTAATCTTTCTGTTGTGTTCCATTAGAAGAAGAAACTTTATTGTCACTGTAACACATACAACAAAATTATGTTTGGAGCCCAGGGCCCTGAGCCGTTGTGTGCATACATGCCACCATCACAGGCAATGGGGGGTTCAGTGTCTTGCCCAAGGACACTTTGACATGTGGACTGCAGGCACCGAGATTTGAACCTTCAATCTTCCGGTTGGGAGACAACTCCTCTACCAACCGCACCACTGTCGCCTCCCATTACTTTCCAAATGTGCAAAATGCATCAAAAAAGCGTGGCATCAGATTTTAATAATAGGTGAGAAATCTGATGAATTTCTTTCTTTAATGCTTTTATAGTATTTAATTAAATTCGGAAAATTGCAATGTTAAATTTTGCTACCTCATTTTAAGTTATAGTGGGCTCAGAAATATCCCTCACAGATGGAGAATCATCCTGTATAGCAGCAATAAATAAGGCAGCAACCACATCTGAGAGGAATTTGTAAGGGAGATCTGTTTTTCTGCTTCATATTCTGCCCTGACCCCTTTAATCTGTATCCTGTCAGTCTACTCCAACATTTCCAATTTAGCATAGCAACATTTTCGATTTTTCTCAGTATCTATCAACCGACGCTCTAATAGGGCAAAGAAATTTGTTCACCTTTGTCCCTTTTCAATGACAGCCTGAGAGACCAACAGAGAGAAAAGAGTAAGAATGAAAAAACAGGAGCAGCTGTAACTGAAAGAGCAGAAAGAAAAAGAGACAAAGAAAAACAACAGTTTCAGATTAGACTGAGTGTAGCGAAGAGGAAACGAGCATTAAAACAAAGGGAAGAGGATCAAAGTGAGAAAGGAGTGTACAATTAAAAATGTCAATATGGTCAATGAGGCTAATGGCTGTAAATGACACTCTTGTCTTTTCTCTGTTTCTCTGTCTCTGCAGGTTTTCCACAGATCAGCAAGCCAGACTTCAGGCCAGACATGGCAGTCAGAAATCCCTGAACATCACATATGGTCACGATATAAACAACTTCATAACTTTAGTGGGGGCAGTGGTTTGTGCCTAAGGGGTCCATAAAGACACACACATCAAAATCTGTTATTACTGCAGTAGAAAGAGAGCAGTATAACTGGGATGTGTGTGAGGAGGTGAGTTAAGCAGGTGTTTATAGGGCATCAGATGGACATGGGCAGGGCAGACAGCTGGCATGAAGTGGGCACTAGAGGGGTCCTGCCTTCATATTACAGTTTAGCAGATTTGAGCTAAGCAGCAGTCATCTTGAGCTCACTTTAAACTTGTGCTGCCAGCCAACAGAGCATGTGCAAACAAACACACATACATCAGCACAGCTGTAGAACACAATTAAATTTGTGCAACTGGCAGACGGTATGCAACCCTAGCTGGACACCATACACATATTAAATCACAGGCCCAAAGTGCGTATACACATACACTGGGCTGTAGGACAGATGCTGGCCCCTAACTTCCTCCCATTGTCATCTCAAAGCCAGCTGGAGAGAAGATGAGATTTGGGCCTTTTTTTTTATTTATTTAATATCACACCTTCTTCGTCAACCACTTTTGCCTTTTCTTGGTGCAGCCTCATCCGTGGATGGACCATTACCACAAAAATCTTTCCGTCTAAGGAACATCGGCTTATCCACTTGTGATGCTTGAATGACTTCTCCCAAAGTTATTTTTTACTTATCTTTTCATCTCAATAGGGACAGAGTGGAGCAGTGAAAGGATTTCGTGAATAGTTGTCAGACTTTTTTGGGATACCATATCAGTCTGACTTGGCAGAACCCCTCACTGATATCAAGAAGGTGAAAGTGGCAAACATGGCTACATGACATCCTCTGTCTTTTTTTTTATTATTTTCATTAAGACTTCAGCATTTACTACAAAGAACTGAAAAACCTTTTATCCCCAACTCTTGAAACTTCATGTTTGAATTAAGTGTGGAGAGGGGCCAGTACCAGAGGAGTGCTTTAAACACAATACAACTGCTATTCACCAAGTAGCTATCAAAGCCGCAGTGAAACAGGCAGACACAGACAATGGAATGAAAGAGGTGAAAAAGGAGAGGGCTCGAGAGAGATAGACTAGGTGAGGTGAATATTGAGAGAAAGGCAAAAGGTGGAATAATAAACATGAGAAGAGAACACTGAGACATCAGCAGGTCACAACGGAACCAAGCAGAAAGGGAGAAAATAAGAAAAAGATGACTTTTTGGTCTAGGGTGGCTAGAGATGGAACACCCTGCAGGCCACATCTCCTCCATTCTACTGCTCCTCCTCCCTTTCCTCCTCTCTCTCTCTGCTGCTCTCAACTAGTCGGCCAGTTTTCTTTGGCTCCGTCGCTTCAGTGCAACGAGAGAGAGGAAACGAGAGAAAACAGCACTGGAGCCGAGCTCAATATTCACACAGATGGCAGAAAAAATGAGGATCTGTTGCATCCAACCCATACCATGCACTGGATTTCACTGAAGATGGACATTGCAGTTGATCCAGAAACCAAGAAGAGGGGAAAAGACAAAGGTGGCAATAAAAATAGTGGATGCCAGTCAGGGAAAAGTTAGTTTAAAAAAAGAGGGAATGAACAATGGATAGAACGGTGGAAAAAAGCAGACTGTGCACTAAGTTGAAGGAGAAATCACCTCTCATCGAAAGCAAGGGATTTCAAGAGCAGTCAGGCCGCAGCTGGGTGTAGTTTGGCTGTGATTCCACCGTGTGTGGAGAAATTTCTGGTTGTGAGACGAGCACATCGTTGTGGAGGGGAGAAAGAGGACAGAATCTAGCGAGAAAGCAAAGGACCTCAGCGCATAGCTTGACTGTGAGACAAACTGACTCTGACACATCTTCTGTCAGCACGTGTGTGTTCTTCCAAGTCTGAGACACTGGGGATCTTGTGGTCCAGAGTGCTTCTCAGGGGCTCATCCCAACTACTCTGACCAAGGCTTGGTGGTCGTTGCCTGGAGGCAGTGGCAGAGGAGGAGGAGAGAGGGAGTGGGCTGGGGACCGTGGCAGGCCTAGGGGACCATGGGGGGCCGCTTCCTGTCCTCCACCCTGCACCTGGACAGCCGCTTGGGCTTGGGGTCCTGGGGCAGGGGTTCATCCAAGGGAGCTCCCAGACTTGCCGAGCTCAGGCCCTGGCTAAGTGGAGGAGGTAGTACTGGGGGAGGAAGCAGGGCAGAGAAAGGAGGCAGGGTAAGATGTTCCCGGCGAGTCTGGGTTCTCCTGGGCTCGCTGGTTCTCCTTTTTCTCATCTCGCTCTTTTTCTCCATCTCGTTTCACGGATGGGTCATTAGCTTCAACTACCTGGAGCCACTTGGGTGGGAGGAGTCAAGACGAGTGAAGCTGGTGCCAAGCTACATGGGCACACAACGCTTGTCACCACCCAACACAATACAACAGAAGACCTGTGCCTGCCCACGCTGTGTCGGAGACCTCGGTGTGTCTGATTGGTTTGATAAAAACTATGACCCGGATATCTCACCTGTTTGGACCAAAGACAACATCCAGCTGCCCACAGATGTCTACTACTGGTGGGTGGTAAGTAACATTATGACTGAAACTTTACCTACTGAGTTCTGTAGCCGATCATCTACTTAGGTGTGGTGTGAATTTTAATAGTATAGATGTGTTTTGTGTAGGACTGGTTAATTTATTGCTTATGATTATTTCAGAAACTTAAGCTGAAATGGTATACTTAAAGCAATATATCACCATTTTGAGAGTTGCATGAGAAAATTGCCCTCAGTCTTATATTACTTAGTTAAATATAAGACACCAGAAAGCAGCTGGTTAGATTAGCTTAGCACAAACTCTGAAGTAAAAGATTCATGTACCCCAGCATTTCTAAAGCTCGCTAATTAACCATAACTAAGTAACCATAATTTGGTACATTACTGGAGTTTTGTGTCACACAACCTGTTTTACTCTTAAATAAATGTTTTCAAATGTGGTAATTAACAAGCTGCAGAGGTACTGCTAGGTGTATTTTGAAAATTTATTTCCCTATTTTCAGTCTGTGTGCTAAGCTAAGCTAGCCACCTGCTGGCTCAAACCTTATAACCTACAAATGTGAGAGTGGTATTGATCATCTCACCTAACTTTTGGAAAGATAGTGAATAAGTACATATTCTAAAATCTTGAACTGTTTCACAAACCACAAACACAATCACTCAGGGTATCTTAACTAAAGAATACTCTTACTAGTTCAGTTCCAGTTATATATGAACACTGATGTTTAAAATTGTTTATTCCATCAACTGAGCGCAATAACCCTTAAGTTAAGTCACTTAAAGCCGCAATGTATAGAATTTTTAGTACAATCCCAAATGTTTGTTCAAAATAAACACTCACTTCAATCCTGATGCCTGAAACACATTCTAAAAAAAAGTTGGAACTGTTGCATTTCAGGTCCAGTAATGAGGTAAAACAATGAAATGATGGTTCCATTTGAAACAGGTGAGTGCAATCATGATTTGGTACAAAAGTGGCATCCAGGAAAGGCCGAGCCCTTTAGGCAAAGCTGAGGATCGCCAGTTTGCCAACATATGTGTGAGAAAATTATTGAAATGTTTAAAAACAATATTTCTCAAAGAAAGATAGGAAGGGATTGGATATGTCACCCTTTACAGTGCAGAACATGATTAAAAGATCGTGCTCTCTGATCGCTCAGATGGCAATGCATCAAGAAATGTCACTCTTCTATAAGTGATATAACCACATGGGCTCAGGATTACTTTGGCACACTTGTCAGGCACCACAATATATAGTTATATCCATAAATGCTGCTTAAAACTGTACTGTACCAAAAGGGGAAGCTCAATGTCAACAGTGTCCACAGTGAAAACTGCTCTGGGCTCGGAGGCATCTGGGTTGGATCATCACACATTGGAAACAAGTACTGTGGTCAGACGAATCAGTATTTCAAGTCTTTTTTGGAAGGAATGGAAGCGGTGTGCTCTGGACCAAAGACAAAAAGGACCATCCAGACTGTTACCAGCAACAAGTCCAAAATCCAGGGTTTGTCATGGTCTGGGGTTGTCAACGCCCTTTGCAAAGGTCACTAACACTTCTGAGATGGTGCCATTAATGCTGAGATTTCAGAGCAATATATATGCTGCCTTCAAGACGATGTCTTTTCCAGGGTCACCCATGCATATTTCAACAAGACAATGCAAAACCTCTTACTGCACACATTACCAAGGCCTGGCTGTGGAGGAGAAAGGTGCAAGTATCCCAGTTTTTTTTTTTAATGTGTTGCAGGCATCAGAATTGAAGTGAGTGTTTATTTTGAATAAAATTGATGAGGTACCACATCAAATAATGTGCTGCTGTATTGTTATCATTGTAATACAAGACAGATGATTTACAAATGGCTATTTTCAGTTTTAATTTTGATTTTACATGCCATCCCAACCCTTTCTGATTTGGGGCTGTATTATAGCATCTTTGAAAACTAGTGTGATGACTAATCCAAATGAAAGTTTTTTTTTCTTTTCTTTTTTTAAGTAGCTTAATTTTCATTTTGTAATAAAATTCCCAAATTGGACATCTGCGAGACACATCGCAGTACCTTAGGACAGCTGCCATATTTTAAGCTTACAGGCAATGTTTTTCAGATTTAATATCCCTATTCCTACCTACACTGATATTCATGAAACACAACACAAAATAAGATTTTAGATAGTACACTGTATCATCGGTTTACTGAAAACATCAAAAATTCAGCAAAAACACATCTTTGTCTGTGATATCCTATTAGATCACTGTTTCTTGTCTTTGACATTGTGTTTTTGTTCACCATAATGTAGATGTGAAGGAGAGTCAGAAGGCTGGATAAGAGGTTGATTTCAGAAAGAAGACATTAGTGCTCCCCAGTCAATCACTAGCATTGCTCTCATCTGAGGAAAGTGGTTTTATATGGAGGATGACAAAACAGTGAAATACCTCTCTGTCATGTCTCGATTTTGAATCACTTGATTTCCTTCACCAAGGGCCGGCGTTTGTTGGTTTGTTTGTTTCTTAGCAGCATTACTCAAAAAGTAATGAACAGGTTTTAACTAGACAAATGCATTTGCTGTCGAAAATGTGTTTGGATGCTGATATGCTTAAGTACCACTCTGAAAATGCTTGAAATCAGTTGCTGAAAGAGCGGAAGGATGAGAAGAAATGGCTGAAGTTCTTTGTTGAAACAGTTGAAGCATGAGAAGAAATGGCTGAAGTTTTTTGTTGACATAGCTGAAGGATGAGCTGCAATGCTGAACATTTATGCTGAAATGCCTGAAATGAATTGTTGAAACAGCTGAAGGTTGAGAAGAAATGGCTGCAGTTCTTTGTTGAAATAGCTAAAGGATGAGATGCAATGCTGAACAATTGTGGAAGTTGAAAAATGTTGACTATTTATGGAAGATGAAAACAAAAGCAGAAGTTGTTAGTTTCTAAAAAAAAATCTGAGAGCTTAAAACCATCACTGCAATAGCATCTTAAATTTGTAAAAAGGCCTTCATGTGAGCTTAACTTGCGATCTGGGCTTTTCATTTTGAAAATCTGGCTCATTTTGGGGTCTTCGTGTAATCTTATTGTGCAAGCTGGGCTTTTATTTTGAAAAGTTTGCACATTTTGGGGCCCTTATGTGATCTTAATTAGTAATCTGGGCTTTTATTTTGAAAATCTGACATCCTACAGAGCACTCATGGCACACCAATTTATAATCTGGGGCCCCTTATATTTAATATGCAGTATCCTTCAGAGTGACATTGTAACATCCTGACAACAACTTTCCACCACAAGCACAGACGGTGCTGTGTGATGTGCCCTACTAGGATAGGACAAATTACTGTCAGCTAGTTTGTCCTTTGACCCACAATGCTCCGCAGTAACTATTGTGTTATGTCAATATATTTATGTATTCACACACACACATGATAAATTATTTAAAATGAAGCCTCTTGTGCTTTTCACATTGTTTGTTTTGCATCTTACATACCAAGCAGTTACCCATAATGATGCTGAGAAGCTACTAAAAATAGAATCAGTATTGGTGGGCACATACCAAAGCATATTCTCATAAAGATCAGCAACATTATAGAGTTTGGCTTTGGTGCAATTAAGCTTGATTTATTGTGACAACAATCACAGCCTGTAAGAGAATTAAAGGTAATCTGAGGTTCCATATCACTAGCTACACAGTTCATTTAAAGTGTTATTGACATGAAGCCAACTGTCAGGTTTCGAATCAGTTTCCCCGCACTGAAATATACAGGTGTACCTGTACATTACAGGTGTACAGTGATGAGTGTAAATTTAAAAAAACTATGTGAAGCATGACCATGTGACGGTGAACTATGAATGGTCACTTGTGTTGTTATTGGTCACATTTTGAACATTACATATTCAGGAAATATGTCAATTTTTCTTAGTGAGATTGATTATAGTGAAGCTTTAAAGACTTGAACATTATAAAACTGGGCTAAATGTACTATAAGGGTAGCTTATGAATATTCAGAGGTTATAATCCTTTTAATAGTAAACACCTTTTCCACTGGCAAATCCTTCAATATTTGTGCATTATACACACAAGTTAATTAGCTTAAGAAGTGGAGGGCTCATAAATAATGCTTAAAAAGGTGAAAGGTAAATGGTATGTTGGCAAAACAGGAAGTAGAAAAAATGTCTTGAAATATTGATAGAATAAATCATTTAATATTAAAGAGATTAGCTGCATTGATTAAAGTTGTGAAACATAAAAGGCATTAATGGGAAGAACTAAGTGTTTCATGACGGGAGCATTATTGTGTGCATTATTTGAGTAATAGCATGATAGATAGGTTGAGCATTTGAAGTAATGAAGCTGGAATTTCCAAGTGCCAACCATGATGCTGGGATTTCCGAGTGTCCCTGAATGCAGCCATAATACAGATGACACCATTACCGTAAGTTGTCCGACTTTGGTCTGCGGTCTGTCTGGGTGAGTAGCAGTCAATGTTCACTTAATTTTTTTGAACGGTAAAAATTCAACTTAGGTGGTTTAAATGACATACAACTTCTTGCTCATATGTACAGTAACTCATGCCAAAACAGTATGAAGGCAAAGAATGAATATTTAACCCTTCAGACATGGCAAAGACAGAACTATTTGTGGCGAGCTAATTAACGAGCTAACTATTAGCTCGTTAGCAACATTGTTAATGTCAACCGCTAAGCTAATGGTACCATGTTAACTGAAGGTTTGATGGATAAACATAATGCAGTGCTGAAGGTGACTTTACAGAGTAATTCACATGGCAGCATAAGTGGTAAATGAGAGTTGAAACTGTTTGGGAGTTGAGACAGCTAACTTATTGCTCTATCACACAACATCATTGCTGCTAGCTACAGCACAAGCCAGACTCCCGCATAAGGGAACTATGTAATGTGCATTTGACGTCACGGAGCAGTGCAGCCGGCCATGATTAACAGCAGCTACTCACAAATTTTTGACTCTTACAGTGTCATAACTACTCTTGTGTTCTTATGATAGCTCTTGCTAATTGACAGTTAAA